TTTCGCGAGATCTACAGTGATCTTGAGGCATGGGGAGCACTTGATCTAAGGGTTGTTACTGATGGCAGTTTCGGTGATATCAATACCTGTACCAAGCCAAAGACGGTCGAATGGGCCCAAGCACTGTAACCTTGAACGCATGCGAATATCTCACAGCCAGCCAACGTTCGAAGTACTCGGATCATGGCAGGTGTAATTTTCACAATATTGGTACTTTCTTGACTGGCAGCGATATTGGGTGTACTACATACAATATGGTTAAAAATATAGAATCGTCATGAGGAGCATTGGTAAGATCACAGAATTATCGATGTTGTTATTGCTGCACTCTGTTTTGTATGGCGCACCCTCCCCTTCCCTCCCAATGCCCCCCCCCCACCCCGCACCCCGCAAATCGGCTAGGTACTGTAGCATTAAGCAATGATTGAAGTACTAGCATCAGACTTAGCCTACAGAAGCCGTGCAACGCAAGTCTCAGACCGCTTAACATCATGAGAAAGGCTCGAAAAAACTCTGAGACTCTTCCGGCCTTAGAGAAACAATTCGCTCGCAGCTTGAAATTAGCCGTCAGCAGGAGGAAGAATCCCCTCCCAACACTTCCGGCCGAAACACGAACGCGCTGTAGAAGACGCCTCAGAAATTGGCAGGTGTGCTGAGTAAGCCCCGGGCAAAAGACGTTATCGAGGGTCATCTGGTTACGCAAGCTGCAATGTTAGTTTTGCGTATGGTACAAATGATTACCCAATTGAGTGATGTGTGTGTTTGTGGCATTGCTCCTCGGATTCGTCGTGGTCGTGATATCTTCGATATCAACGGTTTGACTAGCAAAGCAACTCTTGATCAAGCTCCGAGGTCAGCTGTCCTAGCAACAGTAAGCAATAGAAGACTGACATGCTTCATCTTGCTCCTTACAACTTAGCAACTGAGTTCTGAGCAATGCCGAGGCCAACCGGAGTGGTGTTCATAATATGGGAGTTTCCGAAAATAAGGGGTACCGGGGTCCTTATAATCGGGATCCTACTATTTAGGGTACTGTATTAGGGTCCCTTATTTTCGGAAACCCCCATATGAGTCCGGTGGACTGTGATGCAACACTCGTGATGAGCCATGGTTTGTGCTCCCCGGATTCAGAAAGATCAGAAACTTAAAGCCCAAGAACATACTTCAAGGATGAGGAGACTTCGTTGGTAGGCTTTAAGCAAGGTCTACCGCAGGGTGGCCCCAGTAGCGGACATGCAACTCTACTTGGAACCCTGTCTTTCTAACGCGCTTGATCCTTTTAGTAGTGGAATCTTCTTGAGAGCACATGTATTGCTTCCTTGATGGTTTCAGGTTACTGTGGAGAAGCTTGCCATCGCTGCGGCATCCCGGCTAAAGTGACCCCATTACCATAGTTCACAAGGCTTCCCTGGGAGTTTCGGAGAATGAGAGACCCAAATCGTAAGTAGTAGGATTAACATCGGGGCCTTTATGATGAGAATAGGTTGGTTAGGTATATCATACAAGAAATATAATGAGGCACCCCCAAAATAGTATAGGAGGTTATTTAGGCCCCTGTGTTGTTTCAAAGATCCGCAGAAGGAAGGCCTACTTAAGCACAAAGCGCTCTGTCCAACGTGCCTCTGTGCGGTTTCATGCTATGGTTTTTGTGTGATGCCTGGCCATGCCAAAATGGGATGAACCGTGTGAGTAAGCTTCAAATTTGTGTATCTCTTTTCGTGATATATGTAGTGACATTCAGAAAGCCGTTCCTTGCAGTGAGTAGTACTCCATAGTACTCCAGTACTTTAGCGCGTTTCTCATTGCTGTCAAGACCACGTCGTTGTCGTCATCGTCAGCGCCATCAGTCATCACGATTCATCACGTGCTACTCAACACTCGTTGTCAACCTTGACCTTGTCATCATCCTCATGCAACTCATGTGGCCATGGCGACGATGCACATCAATGTCGAAATAGTGATCGTTACTTGTCTTCCAGTTCTTGTTCCTGTTGCTATCATGATCATTGCTGTCAGGCCTGTCTCCGCACCCACCCACACACCCAGACACGAACCACCACCACCACCACCACCACCACTACTACCACCGCCACCACCGTCACCACCGCCACCACCGCCACCACCGCCACCACCGCCACCACCGCCACCACCGCCACTAAACCATGGCCATTACCACTAGCCATATCCGTATCTTCCTCGTCATCAAGACTTGCACCTTTTCTTGTCATGCTCCATCGCCCTCACCATCACCGACAGCATCGAATGCCCCTTCTGCTGAGGCAAGACGTTAGCAGCTACGGCCAAGACACTAGCGGCTTACTTCCTGTACGTAGATATTCGTGCAGGAATGCTGTCATTTGTAAGACCCAAAACTCATTCAACATGCAGGTAATGGCAGGATGTACCCCGGAGATGTTTCGGCTGGTGCTGGCTGCAACAAGGGGTGTCCTCCGCAAGGAGGGCAGTGTTGCCTAAGATCAGTGGATGTCAAAGCTTAAACACCTCGCATGCGCGTCTGAGACGCATTCTTTCGTCCGGGTGCATGGCAAGCTTTGTTTACTTAGACATAAGCTTTTGCGTGGTATAGATCTTTCTACCTTCTTGCCGTTTAGTGCTCCATCTGTCCATCTATCTATCTATCAGTCTGAATGAATCCATCTATGCATCCATGCATCCATCCATCCATCCATCCATCCATCCATGCATCCATCCATCCATCCATCCATCCATGCATCCATCTGTCTGTTCACATGCGTTCATGTACATACGCACGTACGTACCTATGTATGTATGTATTTATGTATGTATGTATGTATGTATGTATGTATGTATGTATGTATGTATGTGTGTATGTATGTATGGATGTATGTACTGGATGTACGTACGTATGTATAGAGAGCACCTTCAAATGTGCATGCATACGTTTATGTATCATCTGTTTGAACGCAGATTCGGCCTACGACAGCTCAAAAAAAAATGTATACGTGCATATATACATGCATACATACATACGTACACACATTCATACACCATCTAGTCATATGTGGAGCAATAGTGGGAAGATGAGGAACCTTCTTCTTGCTCGCCAGCGTTGTGGAAAGCGTCGAATCTCGATACAGTCCTTTTGCGAATATGATGAGGTTCACCGTCGGACATTTGGCGCATCAAATGCAGTTTCGGCTTAGCAGTGCTATTATAGAATATTGTGGAAGGTTTCAGTGTACTATCGTATATGATAGTAGATTAGACTATAGTATCCCCTTTCGCCCAAAACCCTGAACACATCCGCCCCTCTCCCCAAAGAGCAGGAGTTCGGGCTCCATGGCGTGCATGCTACAACCATGGGCGCCTCGGTTCGGATCCGTGGAAAGAGCTGTGCCTACCCTAAACCCTACACCCTAAACCCTCAGTACAGTGGCCTTGCAGGAGCCACTCCCGTGGTGGTCGTGAACGGGCCCTGCAGAAGCTTGTCTTCACATCAGGCATTCCAAATAGCTGGCCTTGCCAAAAAGACACTCGAAATCCCAAATCCGTCCCAAAAGCCCCGAACTCTAAATCCTGAAGCCCTCAACCACGAACCCTGGCCCCCCAAACTCTTCAACTCCAAACCCTTGTAACTGTAAGATGCAAGCCGAAGCCTCAAACTTGATTTGGTAGGGCAGTGTGCGATGCTGACGACTTTCGGCTGGCCTTGGCTCTCACGGAAGAGGGTGCAGTCCAGTGTCGTAAATTTTGTGTGCCTGCATCATGCGTGTACCATAGTTGGGATATAACAATTTCAACTAGTTGCAGGTGAAGTGTACCTTGATAGAGGCGGCAAGAAGCCTCAAATCGAGACCTTCAGCTGTAAGATTTGAGGGTAGGGCATTGCAAGCTTATCGAAGCCCATAACCCCGTAGTGCACAGGGCGCAACACTTTCCTCTGTGAAAGCGCCGCGCGCCCGTCGCATTCGCCCATGATCCAAAGAAGCCTCCAAGCAGTTTGGAGGGCTCCCTGCGTTCACCTCATCCGCCTGCTGTCCTTTTTGGTGACGGCTTCCGGGTCCGCGTCCGTCATCGTCTACGTGTTCCTAGGAGGCTGCAGTCATGCTTAGGGTCTAGGGTCTGTGGGCTTGGGCATCTAAACACTTTTAAAGCTGCATGGCTCTTTCTTCGTCTTGCAATTGCATGACGATTGCTAACGTTAGTTTTCTGTCAGTACGGTTCCAGTGTCAGTGTTTGTTGTGGTCGGCTGCGAGGCACATCGACACCCTCGCATCCACAACTACCCAAATCACTCGCTTCTGAAGTTGTTGGTTCAAAAGTGAGTCGTGCAAATAGCCAGCTCCTTGCTGAAGCACGCGAAACCTTTTGCACTTGTGCAACTTCGCAGATGTGTCAGACATCTCTTTTCCAGAATGTCTTCATGGTGTCTGTGACGGTGTCCCGGATAGCCATGATGGTGACAAGGGCTCGGGTTGCAGTTCTACCCTACGTCATGGCCTGGCCTAGCCGAGCCCGGAACATCGCCCAAACTGTCAGAGCCGGAAGCCGAAGCCCTCTGTCCCGAAACGCCATGGCACCAGAAGCCCAACGTAGCTAGCAAAAGAGCCCCTGCGCCGGTATGAACCCCTCGGTCCCAATGTTTTGTCAGGAATCAAAAACCCTCAAATTCGAAGGTCCAAACTTGCAAATCCCGAACCTTAAGATTGCTAAACAAACCCTATAAACCCCTAGAAGGGATCTCTTCTTAAGCAACCCTTTACACGGATCCCTTTCTAAAAGGATCTCTTAAGCAACCCCCCTAGGGGCCAGAATCCTTCCGGAGGCAGACCGCAGGCCTGGACTTTCCCCGCAGCGCTTTCTCTGGGCCTGCTCCTGGGCCCCCTTAACGGTTTGGGGTCTAGGGGTTGGGGTTGACAGGGCTATTCCTGCGAACACATCCTGTTGAGGTCACTGCTACTTCAGCTGTGGACGATCAGGCGCCTCTCGTGTGCTGCCCTCTTCTCAAGCTGTTAGGGATGATGGAGGTAGGAGACCTTGTTTATGTATCCCTCCGAAGCGATGGTGCCGTGGTTTCAGTAGTTGGGTGGGCAGTTGAGATTGCAGACGACGAGGTGGTGATTGCCACTACTGCTGAAGTCATTGCTACCCTCACCCAGAAGCTGCTTTCGAAGAGCGGCTCTTTGGGCTTTGTTCGTGTGCCATTGCTGGCTGTGTCTACGGAGAAGCCTGAAGGCTGGAAGGGTTTGAAGATTAAGGATTTGCCGGCTTTTTCTTCATGCGCAGCTTCTTGGGAGAAAGCAGCCCGCACCGACTTGGTGAGCAGCGAGGCCGAGGCCCAGCCGTCCAAGGCGGTTCCGAAGGCGAAGGCCAAACCTGGCAAGGATCGTTTGAGCAGCGAGTTGGCTGGGCTGGCGGCACTTTATGGTGGCGACGGCGACGACGACGAGGAGGACGAGACCGACGAGGAGTCGCAGACGGGGGCCGGGTTGCGTTTCCTGGCGCCAGGGCAGAGCACTGCCAAGGGGAAGAAGAAGAAGGAAAAGAAAGGCGAGAAGGAGGACGAGCCGGACCTCCAACGGCTTCTTCTGAAAACTTTGGCCGAGGGCGGCGACACCGACAAGGTGATGCAGCTGATGATGGTGAGCATGCTCGTGGACAAGGAGGCCAACAAAAAGAAGAAGCAAAAGGCTCGATCTTCTCAGGAGCTCCTTGGTTCGTCCTTCTCCGAAGGCTCGGACTCAGACGACCTTTCCGCAGGCAAGGGGATGAAAGCCGTAGTGACCTTGCAGAACCTGCATCGTCAGATCCATCGCAAGCCTCAGCGAGTGTGCCAGCTTTTCGAGAAGGAGGTCATCGAGGAGCTGGGAATCGTGGGAGGCCAGGCATGGACTTTGAAGGACTATGTTCGCAAGCAGAATTGGGGCCGCTACAAAGGGCTTCAGAGATGTGCGATCATGGACGTTGCCGCCTACGAGTTGATCAGGGCGGGGAAGCACGAGATTGCGGCGGCGCAGCTCGTGCAGAACCTCAAGGCCAAGGTTCAGGCGGTGCTCCAGAACGGCGACTGGAGCACGGCCTGGCTTTTGACGGGTCTTCCGGACCCGTTGACTCGCAAGGAGTGGGCCGGCTCGAAGCAGGAGATGGCTGTGGTGACGGGGTACATCGAAGCCTTGGCGAAGCTCAAGAAGAAGGTGTCCCAGAACGGTGCGGCGGCCGACGGCGAGGACGAGGATGCGCCGGGGCCGAGCCACAAGAAGTAATCCCGCAACAGCGCGTGCATGTTCGAGGGCAACCTTGCCTTAGGCATCCTGCTCTTTTCAGTGGTGATGATAATTCACGTTTTCTTCGTTATGTGCAGTGGTTTGAAGGCGTCCAAGGTACATTGCTGGAACGGTCCGGCAACGAAATTCCTTTATTTCCGTGTGCTCTACCTTATCCAGAAATCCTAGGTTGGGAGATTTTGACGGGGGAGGGCGAGGCGCAACTTTGGTGGGCTAAGTCATTCGTCAACACGTTCGTGGCTTGGTCCAACTTCGTGGTGCTTGGCAACCCGCGGCTGGAGGGTGGGGCATGCGAGCCGCGAGTAGGCTATCGCAGCATGCTTGATGCTCGGCTCTTTTGTGATAGGCTGCTTGGCGAGGTGCAAGAATTTGCT